TTTTTGCTTTCATGGAGAAATCTAATATAACTATTATTCTTTGAAGTGATTTTTCAATTTGTTTTTCCTTGATCTCTTTCAAGATTTGATATTTTCTTTAATTTTCTTATATTGATGCTGATGTTGATGAAAGGCTTTTTGTTTGTTGCTTCTTTGCTTTTATAATCATTCTCATAATGTTCTCTGAGCTTCCTTGACCTGTGGATATCGTTCATTACTAGTTTTGAAAAATTTTTAGTCAAAAAACCACTATTCCTTTTTTTTTCTCCTGATACACCCATTTTTATATGTCACACTTCTGAAAGCTGGTCCACAGAAACAGCTTCCAATTCTTTATATGACCAGAATATAAACTAGGAGTCCATCAAAATATTGTATTTAAAACTTTAGTAAAACTTATTTTATGATAAGGCAATTTATATCTCAATAACGTAAATGATCTTGTTATTGTCTACCTCCAGAAGGTTATTCTATTGTATCATTTTTTTTTTGCTTTTTTGGGGGGCTGTCACACCCAGCGGTTCACAGGAGTTACTCCTAGTATATGCACTCAGGAATCACTCCTGGTGGTGCTCGGGGGACCATATGGGATCTTGGAATCGAACCTGGGTCAGCCACGTGCAAGGCAAATACCTTACCCACTGTGCTATTGCTCCAGCTCCCACTATTCTATTATTCTTATTCTATTATTCTTATGTCCCTCAATACTCTTACTATAGCAATTCTCTTTCAGTTATTTAGTTCACCATGCTCTCTCAACTTCTAGTCATATATAAAATTTATGTTTGTTTTGGGGACTACACCCAAAGGTTTTTAGGGATTACTATTGGTAGGGGTTGGAAGGCCATATCAGGTGCTAGGTATAGAACCCGGCTTTGCAGTGTGCAATGAAAATAACCTTCATGCTATATTATTGCTCCAGGCCTCGGTGTATTTATTTTCATCTGTTGAACACTTCCTTTGCTCCTTAAACAATGAGTTTCTTACATCTTTCAGGACTTAATACATTAATACTTAGAGAGGATTCTCTCACCTATAACTTGTCTTTTATAGCTCTATGATTGGTCTAAATTTAAAAAGAAAAAAAGGCCCTCCCGTTGATCATCGATTTGCTCGAGCAGGCCCAGTAACGTCTCCATTGGAGACTTGGTTGTTACTGTGTTTGGCATATCGAATACATCACGGGGAGCTTGCCAGGCTCTGCCGTGCGGGCGAGATACTCTCGGTAGCTTGCCGGGCTCTCCGAGAGGAGTGGAGGAATTGAACTCGGGTCTGCCATGTTGGCTGCGTGCAAGGCAAATGCCCTACCATTGTGCTATCGCTCTAGCCCTAAATTTAGTGAAATTTAGTGACAATTCATTATGTATTTTAGTTGCAACAAAATTATTTATTTATTTGTCTATTTATTTGAGGACCACTCCTTCCTATGCTCAGGACTTACTCCTGTCTCTGTGCTCAAGGATCACTCCTGATGGGACTCAGTGGACCAAAGAGACTGCCAGGGATTGAACCAGTGCTGGCTACTTGCAAGGAAACCACCATCCACTGTACTAGTTTTTCATCCTCTAAATTATTTATTTTTATATACTTTTGCAAGATGTCAAGGTCTCTGAGAACCTAAATCTTTTCCATTTATCTTCCCAGTTAGGCTAGAGCGATAGCACAGCTGTAGGGCGTTTGCCTTGTGCTCAGCCAGCCTGGCCGAGCTGGTTTCGATTCCTCTGCCTCTCTCAGAGAGCCTGGCAAGCTACTGAGAGTATCTCGCCTACATGGCAAAGCCTGGCAAGCTACCCATGACGTATTCAATATGCCAAACACAGTAACAAGTCTCAAAATGGAGACGTTACTCGGCCCACTTGAGCAAATCGATGAACAACGGGAGGACAGTGCACAGAGGACATATTGCAGTACACAGAATAGAACAACACAGAGTCTCCTGCCCCCACACCAGGCTGTCCTCACCAGGGCCACATGGAGGGGGACGGGTTGAGTTTCCCTCCCCACCCGAGCAGAACCCTGGCAGCTGAAAACCTCTGGAACCCAGCCACAGCCATGCTAAGACCACTCTCCACACGCTCAGACGATCCTCATGCATGAAGAAACAGGCAGACAATCCCAGGTGTGCAGGACCCGGGGATGAGATCTCCAAGCCTGCTCGGATAGGGACTAGGCCTCCTCCACCCAGATCCCCCATCTTCCAGTAGCTAGGCTTTACACCCACCAACTGCCCCAGTGCTGTGTAATCCCATCAATGGCCAATATCCAGAGACTATAAAACCAAGCTCCTGGAAGCCAGCGGCAGCAAATGCTGTGACCTCCAATTGTTGAGTTCTTACTCTCAGAGAACCCGGCAGGCTACTGAGAGTATCTTGCCTGCACGGTAGACTCTTACAAGCTCCAATGTGGCACTTGCTAAAATTTCAGGGTTTGGACAAATGGAGACATTTACTGGTGCCTGCTTGAGGAAATCAATGAAAAATGGTATGACAGTGATATTGCAGTACATGAGATAATGTCATTTATATACTAATTATTCAATTTATATGAAAGATACTAATGAATAGATAAAGATATCTTTGATTAAAACCCTGTGATTTATATACCTTTAGAACCTAAAGAATAGGAGAAAAGGATACTTGGGGCTGAAGCAATAGTTCAGTAGGTAGGCTGCTCTCATTACAAACAGCTGATGTGAATTTAATCACTGGCATCAAATTTGATGCCCAAGGTCCCTCCAGGAATGAGCACCGAACCAGAAGTTAGCTCTGAGCATGAATGGATGTGACCTAAAAACAAATAAAAAGGTAGGAGTAATTGACTCACAAATCACTAAATATGCACATAGTTGTAATCTGACACTTATAGCCAATGGCTACTGTTTCTTAAGACAAATGCTTCTAGAAAATTGACAATTCCATCATAGCTGTGAATATATAGTTATATACATCATATAGTCACATTTTCCCCATACTGACCTATATTTTATATTTTTGAATAAAAAGAATTGTTCAAAATAATGTATGCTAAAAATTGGTGATTTTTTCAGTTACAAAGCATGCTGTTATTTTCATGGACTGTTATTCAATCATGTTGATTGAATCTTCAGTGCTATTAAGATTTGATTTTTCCTGTGTTTTTTTTCTTCTTGAGGTTTATTAACAGAATAGAAATTCAGTTATATCAGACTGCATCCACAAAATAATATTAGCATTCAGCAAATGTGTGATTGTCTTTCTAACCTTAAGCTAGAATAGTAATTTCACTAAGTTTGTTTTTACATCAGCAAGACAAAGGTAAAAAATTGAGATCCAAGAGATAGTACAATGAATACGGCGCTTGCTTTGCTTCTGGCCAACCAAGATTCAATTTCCTGCTCTACATATGGCACTTGGAAGATCAAGAAGTAACATCCCTTGGCACAATGCGAGTAAAGAGTAAGCCAGGAGTAAGCCCTCATCGCAGCCAAGTGCATCCTCAAACCAAAACAAATGTTAGAAAAAAGGACCTTACAAATTTTTAGGAAGTTCGGGACTGTATCTATAAAATTTCTTGTACCAGAAATGTAAAATATCGATACTCTATTTTCCCCATAATTTTCCTTCAAGGACAGATATCTATCAGTCTCCAAATATTTACAAATCAAGTAATAAAAATTAGATCATGGAGATGGTGTGAGAACAAATTGAATTTCAATGGATCATACTAATGAAAATGAAAGATTTAAGTTGGGACAGTAACCAAGAAACTGGAATTTGAAAAATAGAAATTTTAGGAAATGGGATAGTAGTTCTGTAGGAGAATGCAAGTTGTGAAAATACTAAACATATTATTGTGTTTAGTAAATTATTGTTTAGTAAAATACTAAACATATTATTGTGAAAATACTAAACAAAGTTAGTACATTGAAGCAAGAGAAAAAAAGTCTGAATTCTGCAAAACGCATTAATGTTCAAGTTTCAAATCTGTAAATTGGATCCTTAGATAGAATATGACAGTTTGTGCAAATTCTCTTTTTCTGCTCAAACTAATCTCAGATTAGTTTTTATTTTAGAGATTTAGATGCTATACTGGTGCTATGCTGCTTTCTTATTCTTGGACACATGAAAAAAAAGAACAAAACTAGTATCTTCCCTCGTGATTGAAGAAAGTCAAGGCACAGAGTTCCATACTTAACAGCAATGAAATACAACTACCAGAGCACCTCAATTAAATTTTATAGTGAAGCACCCTCCAGCTTATCTAAATGAGTGCATAAAATAGGCCTTCTCTGATACTTCATTCCTTCTCAGATGCTATCTGAAATATCCTAATGCAAATATGTAAGTATAGGCATATATTGCAAAAATCTTTGGGCAGTGACCAAGTGGCATTATTTACTACACTTCAATAATTTTCAGAGGTCTCTTTTAATCAATATTTTTTTTTTTGCTGTTTGGGTCACACGCAGCAATGAACAGAGGTTACTCCTGGCTCTGCACTCAGGAATCACCCCTGGTGGTGCTCAGGATACCATATGGGATGCTGGGAAACAAACCCGGGTTGGCCACGTGCAAGGCAAACATCCTACCCGCTGTGCTATTGCTCCAACCCTTGAATCATTTTCTTTACTATGGGTACTTTCAATATTCTCCACAATTAATCCAGATTACAAAAATGTCACTATTGCATAAAACTGTTCTCTTGTCACAATCCAAGAAAGAAAATAGACATCAAAGAAGGAATAAATGAAAACACAGAAAAAGTGTGATTTGAATGCTAAGCAGTGCTTTAATTAGGAAGAAAATACAGGGAGATGATTACCTCAATTTGCAAAACATCAGCCTTTTTAGGGGGTAAATATAAGCAATAAGAACTTCCAAAAGCGACAGCTCATTAAGTAGATTCAGTACAGAATTACAGTAGGTGATGCAACCGATACATAATAAGAAAAACGATTATTCAGGGTCAAAACCAATAGTATCAGATTTTTTCCAACTCTTAGCTGATCTTTGATGAGGGCACTAGCAGTCATTCAAGGAAGAGGAATAAGGTTGAAAATTGCCGCACGTATAGTTGATGGGCCTGTAGCAGTCAGAGGTGTAGTTAAGAGGTTGGCATCCATAGGACAAGTAGTTCCCAGATTGACGGCCATTGGGCACGTAACTCAGGGACTGACGACCATAGGGCATGTAGCTCAGAGGTTGGCGGCCATAAGGCATGTAGCTCAGAGGTTGACAGCCATAGGTCATGGAGTTCCCAGGTTGACAGCCATAGGTCATGGGGTTCCCAGGTTGACAGCCATAGGGCATGAAGTTCCCAGGTTGACAGCCATAGGTCTGATAACTTTGAAAACGGTATCTCAGAGGTTGTCTACAGGAAGCAGGCTGGCAGGAACTGTTGCCACTGGTGGTGATGGGATGACAGTCATTTCCCTGGTGGGATCTCGGCACATCGGAAGCAACTGGAGAGCAAGCAGAAGGGCTAGCGTTGCCACTGTCACAAACCGTCGGTGAGCGGCTCCTGGGTTTCTCACAGGATGTGTGGCAGCTCTCAGGAAGTGCACTGTTCCCAAGGCTGCTACTGGGAGAGCAGGGTGAGTCTCTGCAGCTCATCTCAGTGGAGCAGAGACCACTGGGAGAGGTGACAGGAGAGTGGCAGGAACTCCCATGGGAGCGAGAGCTGTAGCTTTTAGAGCAGAAGTTGTAGGACATGGTGGAATCAGAAGGTCAGACTTTGCTTTGATTTCAGAGCTGCTCCTGAAGAATGATTGCCTGTTGCTGGACCCTAGCTTTATATATCATAGCTCCTGGGCGTTGGTTCCCACTTTGGCTCCTCCTCCCACTCATATTTCAGAACCATTTCTATGCAATCTCATTAAACTATTATTCAGTTTTCTACCAAGCAGTCCTCCCACCAGCCTGTAAACTATATATCATCTGTGTCACATCCTTCAGATAACTGTGATTCCATTGTCAATCATGTCTTCCTTGATCATCTCTCTCAGGCATAGGTCAACTGTTTCTTTAGTAACCATGCTTGTTTATTAGTTCTGATTGTTTCTTAAAATTGCTATTAAAATTCCACAAATGGAGCCACATAAGTAGAGGGACTCATTTACAGCCATTTATTTAGTGTAATGCCAATATCTTCATGTGTAAGTGTTTAATAATATTAGTGATGTATTTTAAAAGTGAGTTATGTTGAAAATTCTTTTTTGGGGAATTCAAAAAATATTTTGTATTCTTTGAAGATATAATCTTATTCCTTTGTGTGGATATTACATTCAACTACATCTTTCCTAGTGAAATACAGTGACCTGGAAAGCTTTAACAATCCTTGTTAAGATCCACACCCAGTGAGACTATATTTCATAGTTCTAATTTTTATTAGCATGAAACTGAAGGTGTTGGCATATATACACCTTGATAGATGCTGTATTAAGTAAAGGTCTTATATCCTTGGATGCTGAGTCTGTGTATTTATATTTCCATCTGATGATATTTCAATAAATATCATTTTATACTTACAGTTTTAAAATAATTCTGAGTTTTCAAATTAATTAAGAAAGAATCTAATTTATATCTGAGATTTTAACTTTCCTGGTTACTATTTGGAATTTGAATGTATTTATACATAAAAAGGAAGTGGAAATTCCCAGTCTGCCAAGAAGAGAAATGTTTCAGCTTAGTGGTGCTATTGAAGCCTATAACTCCATCTTACCCACATTATTTGGATAAATGGATTTTTATAAGTTCCTTGAGGGGTTTCATTTAGGAAGACTACATACATCATCTGTCTTATTCCAAAAGCTTGGTAACATGTTTTTGGTGGTAACTACTGAAATAAAATAATAAGTCCTTTATAAATAGTATTCCACTCCTATCTCCTCTCCCAACCCCACTGATTAATATCAGTGTTGTATTTCTGAGTGGAAAAGCAGCATGAGAGACATGCATACAGCAGAGGCAGCGTGACCTGTCAAGATGGCAGACTGGAGGACCAGGACAGGGAACCTGGGAATGCTGGGGAGAAGTGTTACCATTAGTGATGGAACACTGAATGTCTAAAACTCAATTATAAATAACTGTAAATCACAATGCTTTTATAAAAATGAATTTGAATAAAAAAGAAAGCCCACATGAGTTTGGTACTATTGGGTTTCAGTCAGTCAGCTTTTCTGAGCTTCACTTTTCTCCTATGTAAATGACACATTAAATGCCATAACACTGATGATTTTCAGGATAAGCATGATAAAAAAAAATAAAATGGCTCTTTCCAATTGTCAAACTAGCACATCTTGAATGGGTCTGAAGTCATGCTACACGAACGTACCCCAAGGAGCAATGATCACAACAGATTTGACCGAGTCAGTCTTTAGGTTGCTGACATAGTCGTTTGAATGTCCTTTTTGTATGCCATACTTCCTTAGGCCAGTCTACACACATCATCACTGCTCTTTTCTGCTGCTGGAAGTTCTATTTTTTTATTTTTGGGTCACACTCAGCAATGCTCAGGAGTTATTCCTGGCTCTGCACTCAGGAATTGCTCCCAGCAGTGTTCAGGGGACCATATGGAATGCTAGAAATTGAACCCGAGTAGGCCGTGTGCAAGGCAAATGTCCTACCCACTATACCATCACTCTGGCCCATTTTCTGGAACTTCTGAAAGGTCTCTCATGGATCATTTATATGAATTCAGTACTGAGATATGTCTCCCTATTTGTGGCATCAGAGAAATTCCACGATGACATGGAGCACACCCGTAACATAGCTATCTATAGTTATATAGTCATATCTATGGTAATGACATTTTTTTTTCTTTTTAGAGGGGGAGTGCGGGAGGAGGAACACCTGGCTGTTCACTGGTTCACTCAAGGCTTTGCACTCAGGAATTTCTCCTGGAGGTGCTCCTGGGACTGAGTTCAGGTCAGCCACAAGCAAGGCAATTGCCCTACCCATTGTAATATCTCTCCGGCCCACACAGGCCATGTTTTGTTTTGTTTTGTTTTTAATATTTTATTAAAGCCCCATGAATTACAAAGTTATTTATAGGTGGATTTTTGACATACAATGTTCCATCACCCACCAGTTCTGCCCCCAGTGTCAACTTACCTCCACCAGGGTTCCCAGATTCCCTTTCCTACCTCACTACTCTAGTGCCACTACTATCTTAAAGGTACATTTTACATTTAGTTATTAACGTTTGGATCTTTCAATTTCAGTGTCGTTGACTCTGTAATTCCTGAACATCACCCATGTACCTGAATCCTGTACTTTATCCCCAGCCCCTGTTGCTTCTCATCTATCTCTTCTCCCCTTCTACCTCACTCTACTTCTTTCTATTTCCTCACTATACTTTAGGGCCAAAAGTGATCTAAGCATCCCTCCTTTAAACTACTGTATTTACTCATCCAGTTACTATACGTAACATACATAAGTAATGTCATCCTTATACTACTTCTTGTAGCACTATAAACACATTTTTATGATAGTGACATAAACCAAAAACCAGACAAGTCAGGTTACAATTCTACACTAACATCTAGAGAACTGCTTTTAAATAATGAATTAACTGACCATTTAATCTATAACATGGGTACCGCTGACAATCTACATTTTTTAATTCTGGAAAATGATGTTCTGTAATCAACTGTGATCCTCAAAACAATTAAATGGCAAGATACAAACGTTCTGGGCTATCTCTGGTTAATAGAACAGGGTGGTCTTAACATTTAAGTTTATTAATAGCCAATAATAAAAATGTGCTGATGTATTATTAGAAAAAAATTGTCTTGATTATTATTTCCCATGTTTAAATTCCAGATAGCCAGAGTCTAAATGATTGCAATTCAGGATAAATAAGGAATATTTTTTCTTTTTTTTATTCAATGTGTATGTTGATCCATATTTATTGAAGCAAATAACTCCAACTTATTTCCAATATACAAAATAAAAATGTGTTTTGTGTAAAATATGTCATAAGTATCAAATAAATAAAAATGTCTTTTCTCCTCTGAGGCTGGGTAAGTAACGCCCCTCCCCCAGTACTATTTTTTTAACCTTTTTTTTTCTGCCATCTATAATAAAATTGCTTTTAGGAGCTTGAAGTGCTCTTTGGAGTACATGATTGCTTCAGATTGTACATTTGGAAATATTTGAGACTGCTGAGTTTCTTTCATTAGAGTATGTCAGGGACACAAGATCAACTAAAAGATCACCTAATTGTCCAAACTAAAACCAACTGAGAAACACGTAAATAAGAAAACATTAGGGTTTGTCCCAAAATATAAAATACATTCCCATATTTCCATACTTATATAAGTCAATCATTATATAAACACTAAGTGGGAACTAATAGAAAACTCTTGCATGTAGAATTCCACATTATATATATTTGATACAGTTCCTTTAAAAAAATGAAAGAGATAACTTTCTATCAGCTGTTGAATGTACAGTGCAACTTATTTCAAAGAAAAAAATAGTTTTCACAGAGAAAAAAGCAAGTGTTTAATACTAGTGAGAAACCAAACGTTAGTTCAGATCAGTGATCAAAGTCAGTATCAATGCACTAAAATTACCTCATGAAATCTTGATATAAAACTTTAGTGCTCTTGTGTTTCTCTGATAACACTTAAGTCAAGTCTATTCCTGAGCAAATCTAAATTTAGGACATCCTATAAAATTTATGAACGGCAATTTTTTAAACTCTCAAGGAAAATTTGAGATGTGGCCACAGTAAAGTGTGACCTAAGAATTTATGACAGCCATTCTATGGTGATATTCTCAATGAGATCATGGAATATAAAAAGAACATGAGGTAAAACTAAAGAAGTTGTAAAGTATCAATTTTAGTTCATTGTAATAAGTGAACTTAGGTCATTACTTATGATAAATGTGAAAACTAATGTAAATATTAATTTGCCATTAGTTAAAAAAAAGTCTAGCTATATTGAACTCACTTTTGGTTTTTTTTGTGCTTTTTTAAATTTTTATTAGTGAAAACTTTGTTATTTTTATAACTTTTCTATCAATCTGAAAAAATGAAAACATCTTAAGTATACAAAAATGAAAAGTCTGGATTAAAATTTTGCTAGTAAATATAAAATGCTCATTTATTTCACATTATCAGTTCATACTATCAACTATCAACTACTGGGAATAGACATCTTTATTGGATAAGTTATCATTTTAATGTACATTATCTTCCTTCCAGTAGTACACATGAAGCACTTTCCCATATTTTCCACATTTAATTTTCGTAGTAGCTTTCTGACGCAGAGAGGCATATTTCCCTGATTAGAGGATACATTTTAAGATATTCTCAATTTATCCATGTCACAGAATTATTAAGAAAGAGCCAAGTCTATAAGTCAATTCTTGTAATATCTTAAACAGTAATTTGCTTAAGTATTTTTCTTTTTATATTTAGAAAAACTCAACTATAAATAGAAAAATAATTTTTCTTTTGAGGATGATTAGATTGCAAAAAATACATTAGTATACAGTATTTTGAATGCTGGATAGCACCACTGTAGCTTGAAAAGCAAAGATAATAGTTCACTTTCTTAAGTGATTCCTCAACAACTCTACTCCCTTGTAGAAATCCTAAGGGAATAAGTTAGGGAAATAAATTATAGCTTTGTTTTACCTAAATCTTTCATAAAATGAAGAAAATATTATGAGTTACACTGTGAGATACTTACTATTAAGTT